TTTTTTTTTATTAAGCTTTTTTAATTGCTTCACCTATAATATACTTTTAGCATATACAAAATTAATTATTTTAAGTTACTATTTTATAAAAAATGTAATACTAAATTGACCAAATTTTTATATCTGTACAGGCTAAAAAAACCGTAATCCGAATTTTGCTACAGCCTTCCACCGACAAAATTTCAATCGTTCAATTTTCTGAAGAAAAATAACCCGCCCTCAAAACTGATACTGTCAATCATATTGAGAGGGAACTGAAAAAAATGATTTACGATGCATTACATTTAATTCTGCCAGGTTTTAGGCCGTTAAAATCGTAAAAGATATTGAAATTTCTAGCTCCTAAATATAACAACAAATTAACTGAAACAATAAGTATTTCTATTCATATGATAAATTTCTGAACTCTGATATGATTCTAATATAATATTATTGTAACTAGTATTATGTACCCTTAATTTTTAAACAAATTGTACCTTTATGTTTATGTTAGTGACAATTGCAAATACTATAGTATATATAGTATATATAGTATAGTATAGTATGTTAACAGGAAATAAATTTATTATTAATATTATTATTATTATATTTACAAACATGAAAACTGACTATAGTCGACTAAAACAAATATAAATTTTTAAAGAAATTAATTAATTGTATATTGACTGGGCCCAATTCGAATTTGAAGTATGAGATTAGTGTTCTTGCGTTACTATTATTAACATTTTTATAGATGGCTTTTTCGAATGATTTTACCCTTATTTTCGAGTATTTTCTGTTCTCTCTACAGACTCTGCAGGAATCATTATTACTTATCTTTTTTTGGAAGCGCATTAACAGTGTGTTGACCTGTAGTGATTCCAACTGTCTGTTCAGTTTTTTTTCTGTTTAGGAGCAAAAGGTTATTGTTCCCAGTCCAATAGACATTTGGCCTGGTTACCTTGTTCAAGGTTGGTTCAGTGGGAGGATCAGCACTAGCTTCCATTTCTTAATTTCTGCTTTGATATACTCGCAGAATGGTTCTGGGCCTATTGGCGGTTCCCTCGAACCCTTTTTTGCTAATAAGTTGGCTTTTTCATTGCTTAGAATCCCTGACGGGCAAATGAGGCAGATTTAATTGCCTCTTGCTAGTTTCTCCAGGCATTCATAACATTCTTCAACACGCTATATGTCCCGTACAGATAATGTCATGACATATAGAAGACCGCGTTGAAAAACGATAGATGGCACTATTGTGCAGGCAGTTCTCTTCTCGCCGCTTTTGAACTGTTCCCTTCCAATATAAGAAGAGGAATTAAAGTTTTCGTTTGGGTCTCGAGCCTATAGCAACTCGGCACTGATGAGTTCCACAAGAACGAAACGCGTCTGTCGATGCTGGCATGAGATCCGAACGAAACTAAACAAAAGCGGTGATAAGAGAAATGCTTGCAGAATATTTAACAATATATATATCTAGCGAGTTTTCGCAAAGTTTTAATACTTTCAACACGATAACTATTCTTCAACCAGTTTTGGTTGTTTCCTGACGTTGGTCACCGCGCTGAGTGCGGCCTTACTGTCGCTGGCTATGTACATTTTCGCGCCCTTAAAGTTCTTATCTAGAATAATGCAGATACACTCTAAAATGACCATTATTTCGGTCTGCAGCCTCTTAGTAGTGATCTAAAGACCATCGTAAAAGGTCTAAGATCCCCAGGCCACCCCTACCTTCTCTTACGGAGCCTTCTGTGTACCTGGTAATGCCCGTTTCTAGGGTTGGGATTTTGACCGGTCAAAATCTTTTGTGGTCAATTGACTGGTCAATTGACCGGTAAATTGACTAAGCACCGGTCAAATTCCTCAGTTTTTTTCTAAAGAAATGAAGGCATTAAATAGAAACGTGTATTTATTGAAAAACTGCTATCAAAAGATAAACAAACCATTCTAGTTACAAAAAATAAAAATATTCTAATAATACTTATGACGGCTGGCAGTGCTGGTATGGGTAGATAACAGCAAATCATCCTCGTCACTGAACTCAGCCTTCTTCAAAATCATCGATTTCATCCTCACTACTAAAATTTAGCGCTGGTTCCTCCGGATTTCCACATTTTTTATTTTCACTTCCACTCAACAGCTTCAAGTTGTACTTTATATAAACAAGCTTTCCTGAACGAGTGGTTTTCAATCGGTTGCGAAGCTTACTATGGACAAAACCCAAGGCAGCGAACGAGGTGATATACACCCTGCACGGCATGGGTATAAGGGTTGCAGCACAGAAGACCGAGATGCTACTGATAGAGGGAAGGAGGACCATTAAGCAAGCTGAAATCAGAATAGGGCAAAATCTAATAAAAAGCAGCATGGCAGTCAGGTACCTGGGAGTATTCCTAGACAAGGACCTCCGCATGGTGGAACACGTGAAAAAGATCTCGCAAAAGGCCAGGGAAATGGTAAGAATTTTAAATCGGGTCATGCCTAAGATAAATGGACCCAAGTCCAATAAAAGGATACTGCTAAAGAGTGCTGTAATATCGGCTGTACTATATGCTGCACCGATATGGAGCCCGGCCCTGAAGTACAAAAGATATGAGAGGGAACTGGAGAGCATAAATAGAAGACTGGCGATTTCTATAATTTCGGCCTACAGGACAACATCAACAGAAGCTGCACTGGCTATAGCGGGGTTGCCCCCCATTGCCCTCGTGCTGGAAGACAGGATAGAGCTGCACAGAGGAGGACGGGAACTGATAGATTTATACCGGGACAACCTATTCAGGAAGTGACAGAGGAAATGGTCGGAATACAATGGATGGGCCAAGGTTTTCATTGTGGACGTCAGGGCGTGGGTGGCAAGGAAGTGGGGTACCGTGGACTTCTACGTGACTCAGGCACTGACGGGACTTTGAGTGTTTGGAAAGTACCTAAAGGAGATCAAGAAACTGGAAAGCGATGGGTGCTGGTTCTGTGGGGAGGTGGATGATCCGGAGCACACAGTCTTTTACTGTGAGAGGTTCACAGCGGTGAGAACAACGGCAGAAAGTAAATGTCGAACCGAGATAAGAAAAGACAACATAGCACAACTATTATTAAGAGATGAGAAAAGCTGGGAGGCGATTTCCGACATGTTAAGGGAAATAATGAAAGCAAAGGAGGCGGAGGAGAAGAGGAGAGACGCGCAAGCAGCATGACACAGTAAGCGAAAAACCCTGAAGGAATGCCGTAAGGCGGTCCCGGGGGAGGGGTTTTAGCAGGTAGGAGTCCTGCACTACCCGATGCGCAAGAACACCAGTGTCGGGTGTCCATGATGGATTTCCCCTCCAACAACCAAAAAAAAAAAAAAGTACCCGAAATGGACATCCTGGGTACCTCTTGTGCTATCTGGGTACTGTGGCACGGACCTCACCCCTATGTTCATCGTTGAGATATTGCCTTTTGAGGAATTATTTAATGTTTCTATTAACCCTTTGGAGAACAGGTACCCTGATTTCACTTGTACGGGTATGTAGTAACCCAAAATAGTAGCACTGTTTTGCACCGCACTCGACTACACTGTATATAATATTTATGTTTCTTTAAGAATTTTATTGTGGATCGGCACTAAGAGCGCTCGAACATCCACTCTCTTTCCCGTCTTAAGATAGACTTTATGAACAACCGTTTTAAATGAATGCATTTTTTTAAATTAATAATTTACTTTTCTCTGCGTAGTTGCAGCCCTAGATAAAAGAGGGTTGCAGCCATCAAAAACGTCATTAACATTTCACATTAATAAAATTTTGGTGTACATTTTTATAATGTTTAGGACATACAATTTTTTAAATAAAATAGTTCAATACGTATGTTTAAAAAATCATTTCTCAACCACAACATTTTTTTCTGGAACAAATGGAGAATACTTAAACGAATTGTATTTAAAATGGCAACAAGATCCAAATTCAGTAGCTTCGTCTTGGAATACGTATTTTCAAAAATTTAAATCATTTGATTCTATTCAGGAGACAACTAATGACGAAAATGTAACAGGTAAAAAATATTTGTTGTAAAAATATTAACCTTAAAAGTTTAATCTGTCAAAGTATTGAAAAATCATGTAATCAAAAATTCAAGTCTTCATAGTCTAAAATGTTTAGGACATTACATAATTCATTTAAATTTTTGAGATACGTCGAGGTACGTAATTACAATGAGTCTTTTGTTTCTGGTACCAATGCAGCTTATCTGGAAGAACTCTACGACATCTGGAAAGCTAATCCTAAAGCAGTGCATTCGTCATGGGCAGAATACTTTACCATCCTAGAAAATACAGCAATATCGTCAACCAAAATGAATATGACGGCATTACCAAGTACTATGCCCATCACTGTCCCTTCTACAAAAAGTGACTTGGCGTCTTTAAATTCTGAAGAAAAGCAACAAGTTGAATACCTAAATGTGTTTGATATAGTGAGAAGATATCAAGATAGAGGACATTTTTTGGCCAAATTAGATCCTTTAGAGTTGAAAGATAACTACAAATATAGAACCTATCAGAGTAGTAGGATTCCAGATGAATCTATTTTTACAAAAGATCAATTAAGTAAACGATATTTACTTCCTTCTTGTTCATTTCTTGGTAAGTATATACAAAATAAAATAATTGTTTATAACAACAAACTTTGTAGCTACTGAAAATTCATTACCATTATCAGATATTATTAAGAGGTGTAAGGAAGTTTATTGTAAAAATGTTGGCTTGGAACTTTCTCATATTCATGATCTACAAAAATTATTATTTTTAAGACAAAAGTTTGAAACTCCAGGTTGTCTTAACTTAACAAAACAAGAAAAACTTAAACTTCTTGAATGGTTATCACAAGCCCATGGTTTTGAGGCATTTTTATCAAAAAAGTGGCCATCAGAAAAAAGATTTGGCCTCGAAGGTAATAGAAAAAAGTTATGGTTAAATATATATTTTTTTAATTTTAGGATGTGACTCTGCAATTCCATGTATGAAAGCCTGCATAAACACAGCTGTAGAAATGGGTGTAGAATACATTATAGTGGGCATAGCTCACAGGGGTCGTCTTAATACCTTAGCGAATATTTGCCAATCACCATTGTATCGTATTTTTATGCAGTTTATGGAATTTGATATTAAAGAAAAAAGTTCCGGTGATGTAAAATATCATTTGGGTATAAGTTCAATGGCAACCAATTCTTCTGGAAAAAAATATAAAATATCGATGGTAGCAAATCCATCCCACTTGGAACTTGTAAACACAGTGGTGTTGGGCAAAACAAAGGCGGAACAGTTTTACAAGGGTGATGAGTTGGGCAAAAAGGTAAAGTAAATTAAATTACCTATTTTGTATTTTATTGGAAAGAAGTTTGGCTGTAAAAAATTTAAATTATTTAGCAATCCACCCAATCCTTGGATGTCACATCCAAAAACATTAACTATATTCTTGAAATATATTTTGTAGATTTCGTTGCCTTTTTGCGCATAGCTTTGCATGTAGTTTCTACAATATAAAACGCACACCAGGTTACCAATTCCAAAATGTACCAGGTACTAGGTATGTACTAGGTGGTAAAAACCTGAGTAGATCTTGATATTACTACCTTCTTTCTACTTTTTTTAGCAATACATCAAGGAAATTTAGTTTCTCTATAAAATTGCAAATATAGCTTCATCTTATTTAAAATGACTAACTGTAGAACGGGATATGTTTTAGAACTTTTATAATATTTTGAAAAATTTAATATTAATTAAATAATTTCTAATGTATATTATTATAAACTGGAGCTCCACCTACAAAGAGCACAGGCAAAAGCAGCACTTAAAGTTAGGTTTTCAGATTAAAATTAAGCTACCTTAATCTGTCAAATAGAAAACTTTGGACCTCAGTACAAATATGATATACATACGTATTACGTATGTATATAGCATATTCATGTACCACACCCAAGCCCGTTCTTTTCGTATAACCATAACTACATAAGGTTTATTATATTTATTTACTAATAGGTAATGGCAATTTTAATACATGGCGATGCAGCTTTTGCTGGAGAGGGAATGGTTCAAGAATCATTAAATATAAGTAATTTAAAATACTACAACCCTCAGGGCGTTATCCATGTTGTTATTAATAATCAAGTAGGATTTACAACTAACCCGAATAGGTCAAGGTATGTTTTTAAAACACACAAATACTTTGACAATATAGAAGAAGGTGATAGGTACTAAAAGACGACTACAAAAATCCAAAACTTTAATTAAATTGACCAACAAAAAAAATCATACAGGAAAAAAAGCGTTTCATAAATATTTACATTTATTGTCACTTGTAGAACCTCACCTAATTTTGTATTGTCACATCATTTAGGAATCTTAATTTAATGTATCATTTAGGTCATCCTTATATGCCTCTGATATTTCAAAAATTCTCAACATGCCAATATTTCATGTAAATGGTGATTGTCCCGAAGAAGCATCTTACATTGGTAAGGTATGCGCCGAATACAGACAAACTTTTCAAGATAACTGTATCATTGACGTAATCGGTTACCGAAAAAACGGTCACAATGAAGCGGACGAACCGAAATTCACCCAACCTCATATGTACGATGTTATAAGAGCTCATCCGCCTGTTTTTGTTAAGTATAGTAAAGAACTTGTGGAGAAAAAAGTCCTTACTGAAGATGATGTTAACAAGTTAGTCGAAAAGAACGATAGTCTTTATGAATCTGAATATAAAAAAGCACAGGAACAAAAAGAAATTAGTTTGAATGATTGGAATGATAGTCCATGGGAAGACTGGAAAGGTATTAATACTTTGTTACTCTAAATATTTGATTAAACAACAGTTTTAAGTACTTTTGAAAAACGGGTCAATCCATATCAAATCAACCAATTTAATTTGAAAAGGTCAAAATTTATTTATTTTACTTTGTTGGAAATAATAAAGAGTTTAATATTTTTATTTAGTGTATACAGTATGGAGGAGCATTACAATATTATTATTATTATTTCAATTGTTATTTTCCTTTCAAATAAAAATAAAAATTACAACGCGATTAGCATTTTACCGAGGGGTAAACCACTTTAAAATCAGCGAGACCAACGTTTAACGTTATATGGACGTTGTGTTCTGATTTTTCCTTAATGGACCCTTATCAATCGTTATCAATAAGGAAAAATTCTTATCAATAAAAAATTCTGTTAGCGACGCATTGCGCATGACTACCCTTGTGATTGTTTTTCTTATCCGTTAATTGAGGAGGTGCATTCCAAAACTCGGCTTATCCATATTAGTTGTTTTTGAGTAAAATGTCAAATACCTTACACGTGAGTTCTAACGCATATCAACACAATACTTTAAACGAAATATAAAGGCATAAGTAAAACATTTATATACCTTGATTAAAAAAGTATAGCTCCAGTTTAAAATAATTTAAAATTACATACCTACGTATATGCCGCGGCAAGTTCTGCATGATATAACCAATATTGGATAATATATAGATAAGGCAAGTTTTGGAACGATAGTCAATTTGTAAATGGATTTTAAATGGAATAAGGTTAGTTTTAGAATATTATGAACTTTTCAGGGTATATGGGGAAACATGTTAAATGAACAGACACCACTAACTCATTTTTATTAAAAAGTGGATAAGCCGAGTTTTGGAATGGACCTCCTCAATTCGTATACGATTTTTAATTTTAAAAATCAGTGGTAAGAGAGTGGATGTGTGAGGTCGAGCGCTCTTAGTTCCTATCCACAATTAGAAGTTCACCAACAAGGACAGCTTCTAAAAGCGTACTAACACCCCGACCCCCATTCATGAATCCCAATTGAATGGGGTTATTACTAAGGCCCCGGTTGAGGAGGATTCCGGATTGTACTTAGTTTTGGGTCAGTTCAATGTTCTCCAAAAACCATGTTTTACCCTCCTTGTCCCGCTCTCCACTAGCCTTAACTGGACGTAAGGCCCGACCCGGCGACAAAAATCCGGGAGTGGCCTTAACCGTCGACCCACGACCTCCTAGGGCAGATCTACCAGCCGGCGTAAAAACTTCGGATCCAACAAACACAGGTAATGCTGTGCAGTGGCGGGATAGGTAGGAGAACGGAAAGGGGGTAAAATAACCCTGGGAGATTAGTGTAAGGTACTGTCGATGGGGCCTGCCATACGTTCCCATACTCATATTCATACTCATACTCATCAGTGGTTTACACCTTGCATTTACAAATCAAAATAATAATAATAATAATAATTTATTTATTGCCCAACAGTTCTCACAATAAAGGACATTCAAATAAAAATATTACAGTAGATACAAAAACAATTAATAATATACATAAAATAAATAATTAAATTAATATACTTAAATATAAAGTGGTGTTTAAAAAGTAGACAATGGATAAAAAAAACCGAAAATATATAATAAATATAAAAATTATATGGTTAAAATCATTGTAGTATACTCCTCAAACTAGAAAAATTAATATCACAAAGACTTGCTACTTTATTAAAAGTTAGGGACATTTTATATATCGGCGACCTTACCAACATGTTGGTACGTGCCCTTGGACACTTAAATACTAATGTTTGCCTATTATTAGGTCCCAGTAAGTCACTACAGTCTACAACATTATGAATTAATTTAAATAAAAAGGTTATGCAGATTTTATCCCTTCTTACACTTAAAGAATCAAAATTAAAGGTATCAAGCAGTACCAAATGATCAAAACCCTGAGGGGGATATACTCCAAACGTTTTGTAACTTAAAAATTTTAGAAATTTACGTTGCACTGATTTAATTGATTGAATGTGGCCACCAAACAATCGAGGCGTACTCCAACTTGCTGCGTACCAATGCATGAAACAACAGCTCAAGGCTCTCAGGTTTAGTAAAGGTTTTGCAATTTCGGATTATAAATCCTAATGTTTTATATGCTGATTTTGTAGTAATAGCGATATGGTTCGGTAAAAGTGAGATGCGTGTCAAAATAAACTCCCAAATTCTTCATTACACTGACTGACTCCAAGTGTATCTGCCTATTTTACATTTCGATATGTTTAAAGTTAATCTGTTTGTTTTACACCATTGACCTAAAATATTAAGATCATCTTGGAGATTGAGACAGTCATTTATATTAATGACTCGAGAGAATATCTTGAGGTCATCAGCAAGCTTCAAAAAGTTTAGTTTTGGGGGTAAAACATTTATAAAGATCAAAAACAGCAAGGGACCTAAATTGGATCTTTGTGCAACGCCAGAACTGGACACAAAGTTGCGAATTAAAGTTATTATATGAAACAAACTGTTTCCTGTGTATTAAATAGGACTGAAAGAGTTCCACAAGAAAGCTATCTAAACCAAAGCTTTTTCTGTAATAATATGTAGTGATCAATCTGATCAAATGCTTTCTGGTAGTCAGTCTATATAACGTGGAGTTGAGAACCTTTATCCATTGTTTCACACGCATATTGTGTAAATGAAGCCAAGTTGGTTATCGTGAAGAAATAAAAATTTTCGGTTGACAATATAGTTTGGAGTAAATTATCATTTCAAATATTTTAGCGAAGTTAGTGAAGTTACAAAGTAGAGAAATTGGTCAATAATTTGTTATACAAGATGGGTACAATTCTTGAATTTTTCCATATGTTTGGAAAGGTTTCAAATTAAATTATTTTGTTAAATATTAGTAAAAGAGGTGAAACAAAGGCACCACAGCAATCTTCTACAAGAAAGCTGGGTATGTTAGCAGTCATTAGGTCATTAAGTCTCTTAACACAACCAGTTATATCACTTTCATTTATGCAATCCAATGTAACGTGGCTAAAACATAAATCTGAATTCACAAAAGGTTATATTACTTTAAAATTTTACTTGGTCTCAAATTTAGGCATTATTTTTCGTGAATTTTGGCTTTGATGAGGCCTATTCTTGCCTTTCCTTATTTAACTCTCTGAAAAATAAATAAATTTTGTCAGAAATCATCACGGGTTGATTTTATACAGGGTGTTTCATAATATATGCGCAGGACTTCAGGATGTGATAGCTCATCCAAAAAGATGAAAAAAGTCGCTATTAACTTACCCTCTAAAATGCACAATTTTCGAGATACAGGGTGTTGAAATTTTAGAAAAAAAATCGTTTTTTTCGAATATCTCCGGAACCGTTTATCATACAAAAAACAGCTTTAGTAAGCATTTTCTACTCAAAATAAGCTATGTTTTGTGACAGAAGAAATTTTTTTTTACTCATAATTGGTGGAGATTTTGAAGGGGTAGCGGGTGTTTTTCTCCTCAACTTCTACGCCCCTGAAAAATGTACGGTTTTGAGAGGCCTATTCGAACCGCCAATGTTTTCTACACAAAAAAGGTACTCTTGGTCATAAGCTCTAAAGTTGACCGTTTTCGAGAAAAATCAACTTTTATGTTTAAAAACATGGTCAATTTAAAAAAAAAAAATTTTTTTTACTAATTAAACAAAATTTATTTTAACGTTAGAACAAGTAACAAAACCAAACCATAATTGCAAAATAAAAAATGATTCAAAAGTTGTCTTTGCTAAATTCTCCAAACCGTAAAGGTAACGCATTTCGAACATTTCAGCATTTGTATAAAAAATCATTTTTTATTTTTTTTTTAATTTTGCAATTATCGTTTGGTTTTCTAACGTTAAAATAAATTTTGTTTAATAAGTAATAAAATTTTTTTTTTCAAAAAATTGAACATGTTTTTAAATATAAAAGTTGATTTTTCTCGAAACCGGTCAACTTTAGAGCTTATGACCAAGAGTACCTTTTTTGTGTAGAAAACATTGGCGGTTCGAATAGGCTTCTCAAAACCGTACATTTTTCAGGGGCGTAGAAGTTGAGGAGAAAAACACCCGCTACCCCTTCAAAATCTCCACCAATTATGAGTAAAAAAATTTTTTTTCTGGCACAAAACATAGCTTATTTTGAGTATAAAATGCTTACAAAAGCTGTTTTTTGTACGATAAGCGGTTCCGGAGATAATCGAAAAATACGATTTTTTTTCTAAAATTTCAACACCCTGTATCTCGAAAATTGTGCATTTTAGAGGGTAAGTTAATAGCGACTTTTTTCATCTTTTTGAATGAGCTATCACATCCTGAAGTCCTGCGCATATATTATGAAACACCCTGTATAGATAGCCCTAACACAAAATTGTGCGATATTCTCGGTTTCGCGAAAGGATCGAACGGTCGATTTGCAAGGGTTCAAGAAATCGATTAAAACTTTTTTACCTTATTTCTACATCTAAATGTATTAATTTTTTCTCTTCCATTGAAAACATTATTTTTTTTAATATTATTTGATATATTAACTTTTTTATGCAAATGTTTCTGTGACGAGGATCAGTTTTGAATTAGCAGTAGCAGTATTCATAAATGTTTAGTTTAGTCCGTTATAAGTTTCTAGGGAATCGCGAAAGACATCGATTTAAAATTTTAATAGCGTTAATTATTCGATTTAGACTTTTTTCCAAAATTATTTTGGAATAATATAATACTAATCGAAAGATTCTTTAATTTTCTATTTGATTATGTAAAAACATACATGGTTTTACATTTATAATAAAAACGTTATTGTTTAAAGTTTGCCTAATTTCAAATTGTTTTTCCCAAGCTATTTGTTGAAAAAACCTTTAAAAAATTAAATTCAAATCGATACGTTTTTCAATAAAAATGTTATTACAAAATATCGAAATTTATCTATTTTTAACACAGTAGCTTGAAAACCACAGCGGACAATGGATAACATTTTTTTTGTTGCACCATTTAGGTGTAGAAACAATGTTAAAAAAATATATTCAATTCTGGCATCACTTGCAAACGAATGTTGTCCAAAATTTGTTCGATTTTTACGCGAAACCATAATTAAATGACTAAATATTTTTACAGTACCTAATACTTTAACGATGTCTTCAACCGGAATAACAGAAGATGTAGCAAAACATATAGCAACATGTTTTTATACTGTTCCTTCCGGTTTTGAAGTTCACGGTGCTATCCAAAGAATCCTGAAAACACGGGAAGATCTGACGAAAAAAAGGTTAATGGATTGGGCTATAGGAGAAGCTTTTGCCATCGGTTCGCTCCTTAAAGAAGGAATTCACTGCAGACTCTCGGGCGAAGATGTTGAAAGGGGGACATTTTCACATAGGTAGCTATAATAAAATATTATTTTTAGACCTAGGCCTAAATTAAATTTAATCATGTATAAAATGTATTACTTTTTTAGTTTCATTCAAACCCCCAATTTTTTTTTCTGAAATTAAAAAAAACCTTTTAGTTTATTTTTATTACTTCGAGAATTACTAAAAAGTAAACAAAAATTAACAATAACTTATTTACTATGAACAATTATTTACAATACACATTTAACCGTTAAATGGAGAATGAATGCCATACAGGGTGTACGGGAAAAGGAGGTCAATCCGTTAACCATATATTCTTTGAGTTAAAACAATAAGACTTTAATAATACCATTTTTCAATTTAGAGCTTCATGTTCGATATACAGGGCGACAAAGTTTGAAATTTAAAACTGATTTTTTTTAATAATTTAAGTAATTGATAAGATATTAAGTTTAAATTCGGTACACTACTTCAACATAAATAGTTACATTTTTTGAGATCAACAAAACAAAAAACAATTGTCAAATAAACAAAATAGGGGGGTCCAGTACTCACTGACTCCCCCTATTTTTTAGTACGTGCGCCAATGACTTCCAAACGGTATTTTTTCAGGTAATCATTTATTGTTGAAAATTTTTTGTCTCTTATAAAATTTTGATAAAATGATTTGTTTTAGAGATAATTTGTAAAGTATGGGTCAATCCATATCAAATTTAATTTTTTTTTTTGAAAAAATTTAGGTCATGTGATATATCATAAAAAAGGTCTATAATAGGCATTTAAAATAAGCCATCACTCACCTTTCTACTTTTAATAGTTTACGAGATATGGCTATTTTTGTAAGTACTTGCAAAACCCAAATTTATCGGAATTTTTTGATTTTCAAAAATCAATAAAATAAAAACCACCTATCGAAAAAAATTTATATATGGGATTTTTGAGTTTTTTTGTGAGGTAAACAAATTTACCAAAAATGATCAAAATATGGTTGATTTGATATGTACTGACCCATACTTTACAAATTATCTCTAAAACAAATTATTTCATATCAAAATTTTATAAGAGACAATAAATGATTACCTGAAAAAATACCGTTTGGAAGTCATTGGCGCACCTACTAAAAATAGGGGGAGTCAGTGAGTACTGGACCCCCTATTTTGATTATTTGACAATTGTTTTTTGTTTTGTTGGTCTCAAAAAATGTAACTATTTATGTTGAAATAGTGTACTGAATTTTAACTTAATATCTTATCAATTACTCGAATTATTAAAAAAAATCAGTTTTAAATTTCAAACTTTGTCGCCCTGTATATCGAACATGAAGCTCTAAATTGAAAAATGGTATTATGAAAGTCTTATTGTTTTAACTCAAATAATATATGGTTAACGGATTGACTTCCTTTCCCGGACACCCTGTATATATACGGGCCCATCAATACAAAATATTGTGAATTTATTTCAGAGGTGCTCTATATGTTAACGAATTAATATAATTTACTTAATAGAGAGTTTTTTTCAAAATGTAGATTTGCCGTAACGAGTATAGAGTTTCAAAAGTAAAAATTAATGGGAAATAAGCAATACATTTTTTACACCTGCCTATAAAAATGGCACCAAATTTTATTATAAATAAAAGCATTTGAATTTTTCTCAGCCTAAAGTCGTTTTATTCACTTTTAAAGTTCAGACACACTTTGGATGATAAATAGTGTCATTTTGTTATAGGCACCATGTCCTGCACGATCAAAAATTAAGAAAAAATGTTCATATATCATTAAAAAGTTTGTACCCCACACAAGCTGAATATACAGTAACTAATAGTTGTCTGTGTGAATTGGGGTTGTTAGGTTTTGAACTTGGATATTCTTTACCTAATCCAAATGCTTTAGTAATATGGGAAGCCCAATTTGGAGATTTTGCGAATATGGCTCAACCTATTGTTGACACGTTTATATCTTCTGGAGAAACTAAGTGGGTAAGTAGAATTTGTAAGAATAAGAATACTTAAATAATTAATAAAACTTTTGTTTTTTACCATAAGCTTAAGACACTCGGTAGAGTGGCAAAACCGTATAATGTTCTTAATTATCAAGTCACATTTTGGTTCATCTCGATATATTTATTTTTGTGGAAAATATGGATTTTTTAAAATAACAATTTCCAATATTTTTATGTACGAAGAACTAAGGTTGATATGGTCCATCCATAGCTTATGGAGGATGACAGTAACAGTTTTGTTAAATCAACCCATACTTGTCATATACGGCTTTCAAAGGCTATCAAATTGTTTTTGTAAATTAATGAGTGACTTTTGAGGCGTCTTCTTACTTTAAAAATGGATGTCTCCGACTGATGTTGCCAGAGCCCTTGCTTTAATCCAGGATGGACCGTCACAGTATTACGTGGTTTTAAATCCACAAGAAGTAAAGTACAAAGGGCTGTAAATCGGTTTAATCAGCATGGTAAGTACAGTAGAAGGAGAATGTGATAGGAAGAGGTGTAAGAATGAACGAGATGATCGCTTTATTCGACTTAATGTTTTACATGACTGAAGAGTAACTTCTGTGGAGGTAAATAACAGAATGGAGGACGTAAGAAAGGTTCAAGTAAGCGAGAGAATGATAAGAAGGTTATCTGACATTGGATTACACGCAAGAAGACCTGAAACCGCACCCGAGTTGCTAAGAAACCACAGGGTTGAACGCCTTAGATTTGCTAGGAAACATCAAAATTGGGGCATTGAAGAGTGGAAAAATATCCTATTTCCGACGAATCTAGGTTTTGTTAAAAATCACCAGACGGTCGTCAAAGAATCTATAGTAGAACAAGTTTTGAGCAAAACAATTTTTCGCGCGTGGTGTGTAATCCAATGTCAATGTCTTTTTATCGTTCTCTCGCTTACTTGAACTTGTCGTACGTCCTCCAACTTTTCAAACGTTTATGTTTGCTAATCAGCCAAGATATTTCCAAAAATCGTACGACAAAGCCCAGAAAACAAGCAAATGTTAACTATTACGTGGGGTACACACGCACCCCACTATAGTGTATACACAAAATATTTTTTGTTTTAGTAAATAAAGTAATTTAATAATTATTATACGCACATTTTGTCTAAAATAAAATTATTTACAGCTACTAAAATGTTGAGATCGAAAAGAAAAAAATTAAACACTTTTAATACAAAATTTGCTGCTTGGGTGCAACTGCATCCCACGAGGTAGGACGAAGGTTAAAAAATTCATATTTTCCACAAAAATAAATATATTGAGATGAACCAAAAACAAAACAAATATTATAAACGTACCTCTATTTTTAGTAAATTTTTAAAATGTGAGCGATTCTCCATTAATTAATTTATCTACAATATTATTTAATATTCGTTTAAATCCGACATCAAATTATTATTTGCTATTGAAATTCATCGCAAATTTGTGAGGATCGATTATTTTGCCTGCCTCTGCCTCACATGTGAGTGTATTTAATAATATCCATGAAAGTTGGATTCCTTCAAAATATATAAATAATATTTATATATTTTGAAGGAATCCAACTTTCATGGATATTATTAAATACACTCACATGTGAGGCAGAGGCAGGCAAAATAACATATTATGTACCAGAAAGGATGAGAGAAAATTTAACAGTAAATTCCTTTGTAAAAAATAGGTTTTTCTTCATATGAACTTTTTACAGGTTTTTGTTGCAAAAATCCATTGCAACTGACACAAATATTTTCGTGCTCCTCTTCATTTCTTCACACACGGCCAATAGTATTTTACACCCAAGTCGGGTGACCCCGAGGGGTAAACCACTTTAAAATCCTAAAGACAACCGTTCAATGTTAGTGGACGTTGTGTTGAGATTTTATTCCTTATCAGTCGTTATCAACAAGAAAAACTTGCTTAATCGATAGTTAATCGGTGCTTAATCAGTGCTTAGCGACGCGTTGTACGTGTTATTGCTATCCTTAGCCGTTAATTCGTAAGCGATTTTTAATTTTAAAAAATCAGTGGCTTACCCCTCGGGTGACCCAACAGCTTAGAGTCATTCCAAATAAAAACACTAAATGGGGTGCGCTGCTTGATTTTTTATTTTGATAAAATAAATTGAGAATGATCTTTTAGGTATCAAACATCAGAATCTTCATCGTCCGAAGCAACAAAATCTTTCATAAATCTTTCCGTTTCCTCTTCATCATCTTCTTCGTTTTTTTTACTGTCACGGTCTTCAAACCTGCGCAATCTCAGCGAGAATAGCATCTGGTGCTTTCTTTCCTCTGTATCTAAACGGAATAACAATTGTAAATGAACTGAGAAATAAAATCTACCTTATTTCTACCTTATTTCAAATGGAATTGCAATTTGATGATAGCGTTCTCCCTGCTCATCTGATTCGGTTGGCAATTGACGACCATGCAACCAGATCATCGCCCACTAAAACCACTTCAAATCGTTCATTTTTTATTAACCTCCTTATGTCCTTATCTTCAATAGTTGTCGAGTTATTGGACAAAAACTGAGCAGGTCAATTCACAGATTTTCTAAAACTTCAAGAACCATAAAATAAAACTGCGAGCTAATATCGCAAAACAAAGCTGGGGTTTTTCTCATCTTAATGTATACTTTTGAATGTGCTATGCCGAATTGCGTCCATTTTAAATCATATTTTATAAACTATAGTTTTTATAATAGGTTAGACAATCTGGATTGGTAATACTTTTGCCTCATGGCATGGAAGGACAAGGACCGGAACATTCAAGTGGCAGAATAGAACGATATCTTGAGCTGTGTTCGGAGGATGAAGATTTTTGTCCACCGGATGATGCAAATTTTGCGTTCAAACAACTAAATGAAATAAACTGGATTGTAGCCAACTGTACAACTCCAGCAAATATATTTCATATTTTAAGAAGACAAATTGCAATGCCTTTTAGGAAACCACTTGTTGTCTTTACTCCCAAAAGTTTATTGAGAAATCCTTTGGCTCGCAGTTCTTTCGACGATATCTTAGTTGGTATGTAAAATTTTTTATATTTTTTACTTTATCCCTTAAATCTAATAATATTTAATTAATACAAATAATATTTTTATTATTAAAAAAGGATGTTGTTATCCAAAACAAGTAAACAAAATTTTGTCCAATTATTTCAAATTTCTTTGTTTTGCAAGCCATAATAGATAGACGAAATGTAAGGAAATAGGCGCTAAGGCGCATGCGCTACTTGTACGGACTCTTTCTTGAGTTTGCGAGTGAGAGAATTACATGGTCGGTCCATTTTTCTAAACTTTCTCACCAATGCACAGTGGCTGATTTTTCAAAAAAACTGGTGAAAAGCAGGGGCGGACCGTTGACTTTGTTGGCCCTGTGCTAAAGCTCTTTGGGGACCTATCAATAATTATATACATGTATGTACATATATATACAGGGTGTATCACGGTCGATGGTAGGTTAGACGTTTATAGAGAACGGCAAAAGATTTCGAATTAAAGTTTGTATAGCAATTATAATATCATTTAAACTATTTTTCTAAATTATTTTGAACAAAATTCCCTTTCTGGTTTTAACGGAAGCGATATTAACTTTGTTATTTTAAATGGATCATCACAATTTTTTTTACATTTTTAAATTCCTACTATCGTTCCTTATAACATGGCTATACCATGTCCTATACATAAACTTAATAGTTTTTGAGTTATTATTTTTTTTGTAAAATTCGGTCAGTTTCACCCTCAACAAAAAGAGCTTATAACTTTTATAATATTAGGTTTGCTGATATTCGGTTGGATTCATTGGAATCCTGAAGCATTGTTTTAAAGATTCCATGATTCCAAGATTACATAATAAATAATTGGAATTGTAATAATAATATCTTTGTTATTATTAAATTTTGGTATAGGGAATAGTTATATCATTAAAAAGGTATTATAATTTCATATTTAATTATGTAAAAATATTACAGGGCGTTCCATTGAAAATAAAAAAGTTATTGCTGTTTTAATTTAGCTACATTCACATTGTTTTTTTCAAGTATCTTTTTAGAAATATTACAATAATTTACATGGAATCTTTAAAACAGTGCTTTAGGATTTCAATAAATCCAACCATATATTAGCTAACCTTATATTAAAAAAGTTATAAGCTTTTTTTGTTGAAGGTGAAACTGACCAAATTTGACAAAAAAATTAATAACTCAAAAACTATTAAGTTTAGGTATAGGGCATGATGTAGCCATTTTATAAGGAATGATGGTAAGAATTTAAAATTGTAAAAAAGATTGTGGTGATCCATTTAAAATAATAAAGTTGATATCGCTTGATTAAAACCGGAAAAGGAATTTTGTTCAAAATAATTTAGATAGAGACCTGAAGATGATACATGACATTTTACCGAAACGTCATCAGACATACGGTTCTTTTAAGAACCAAAAACAGACAAAACGGAGCAGATTCCGAAAAACCATTAATACATATAAATATACAGGGTGACAATTTTAAAACGAACAGCACTTAATATTTCTTTAACAAATGACAATATAAAAATTTGGCTAACCGTCAACTGGAGCAATGGATTGGTAGGAGGGGACCCATTGAATGGCCACCTAGGTCACCAGATCTGACACCGCTCGATTTCTTCCTATAGGGTCATTTGAAATCCATTGCATTCAAAACCCAACCGGACTCAATTGAACAACTCCAACAAAGGAGACTGTAAACTTTTTTTTTATTTATATACATATATATACAGGGTGGAAATCTTAACTAGAATAAATTCTGGATTTTGAAAACCACTTACTTTTTTAAAAAATCCAAAAACCGGACAATTTATAAATTTACCTGGGTAAATTGTGGTAAATCTTAAAAATATAAGAAACCACCCTTTGAGGGTGCAACCAACCCTAACTTTTTTTTTCAAATGCAAAGGTATATCAAGTGATACATCATTTGAAAGCTCTTTTTAATAGGAATTTATTCAAATATGCAATTTTTAATTATTTAATTTTGGTACCTTAAAGAAATAAATACTTTTTTTATATCCACCAAAAACGTTGTATATTCAACCGAAACAATGTATTTTAGTTCTTTAAAATTAGTTGCAAGTAACGTGTTCTAAATTGACGGTAAAAATGTCTTATTTAACTGAAACTTTGCGTATTGAGATTCTAATGATGATTGGATTTGGTGATAGACGTCGAAATCAGACAAAAGTTGCACGATTATTTAACGAAACGCATCCAGAATTGCCTCACATTTGCCAAGGGACTGTTAGTAAAGTAGAAGCAAAATATCACGAAAATGGTCATGTAGAAAATATTCCTAGACAAGGCCAGCCTATCGTTGAAGACAATACGAAGCTTAATGTACTATTAGCAATCCAAGAAAATCCTGTTACTTCAGCTCGATAAATTGCTCGCGAGAACGATTTGAGCCACACCACTGTACTTAATGAAGTTACTACATGCTTCAAAAATGCATCAGTATAAGATGCAAGCAGTACAGGAACTAATTGGGGATGATTCCGATCGCACAATTGAATTTTGCGAGCAAATGATGAACCTTATTAATGATAACCAAATTTCCTTGGATTGGATACTATTTTCCGGTGAAAGTACGTTTACTTTAAATGGTGAAGTTAATCGTCAAAATTGTAGATATTGGAACGACAGCAATCCTCATTGGATTGAAGAAAATCATACACAGTATCCACAAAAGGTAAATGTTTGGGCTGGAATAATTGGTAATAGAATAATTGGTCCCGCCTTTTTAAACGAAACTCTAAATGGCGAAAGGTACTTAATTTTTTTTCAAGACGATCTTATACCATATTTGGCAGTTCAGTTTCCAAACGAGAATGATCCAGACTTACCAGATAATAGAGTCTGGTTTCAGCAAGATGGAGCTCCACCGCACTACGCATTACCCGTTCGTCGATACCTAAATGAAATATTTCCTAATCGGTGGATTGGTAGAAGAGGTGCAGTTGAGTGGCCAGCCCGATCTCCAGACCTTACACCGTTGTATTTTTTCCTGTGGGTTACCTTAAAAATAAAGTTTATGTAACCAAACCAACTAATATTGAAGATCTTAAAGAGAGTATCCGACACGAAACTTCTTTAATATTACCTGAGATGTTGGAAAAGGTTAAAAATGAATTTTATAATCGCCTAGAATTTTGTCAAGAAACCAGAGGAGCTCATTTTGAACTTCTTTTATAATAAATCCATATTTATCATAAAATGAAGTTTTTATTATTTATAATTGTACAAAAATAAAATAATTAAAAATTGCATATTTGTATGAATTCCTATTAAAACAAGCTTTCAAATGATGTATCACTTGATATACCTTTGCATTTGAAAAAAAGGTAGGGTTGGTTGCACCCTCAAAGGGTAGTTTCTTATATTTTTAAGATTTACCAAAATTTACCTAGGTAAATTTATAAATTGACCTGTTTTTGGATTTTTTTAAACAAGTAAGTGGTTTTCAAAATACAGAATTTATTCCAGTTAAGGTTTCCACCCTGTATATATACATAATTTATATACAGGGTGTTTTAAATATGTATACAGGGTGTCCGGGAAAATGTGGGAAATCTCTCGGATTCAGATAGAACATGAAAAAATAAGATGACACTTTCCTATACATTTTTTTCCTACTGGCCATCCTTACGGAGACATGGGCCCCGAAAGTTTTTCTTGAATAACTTTTAAAGTTCTAAATATAATTTAATAAAAATTTAATATGATGAACCCTGGTAAGGACCTCTTAAAATAGTGTCATTGAAACATGTTTTGCTTTTTTGTTTACCAGGGGCGGACTAATTTTTACTTTTTAATGCTTAAATTTTGAACACCCCGTATGACAAAGACTTAAAAAAACTAAATCTGCATAGCTTGAACCTTAAACTAAAATAAAGGTACTCTTGTTTATTGTCAATAAAATGAACCGTTTTCGAGAAAAAGAATAATAAACAAATTCATGTTTTATTAAAAATAAAAAGGACCATAAAAAAATAATATCACGTATTGTTGCAAACCTTAAATTGAAGGACGATAATTCGAAACAATTAATTAAAAACTTTATAAGAGGGTTCAACATGGGTTCCGTGAACTCTGATACATTCGCGGGCACGACGAATTGAGGACTGCTGTACCCGCCAGAACAACCCAGAATTGTTTCTTATCATATCACAATAAAACGTGATTATCTGTAGAAGTTCCTCTATCGGAGTGGAATACACCAAGTTTTTTTAGGTATCCCACAGGAAAAAATCCATCATCCTAAGGTCGGGAAATCGAGGAGGAAATGCAGTATGCAAACTGGCTATGCGATCAGCAACAAAATAATGTAAACTTCATTAGCACTATTCTTTCCAGCCCTTACCACTTGAAATCCGCCTAAACATGTACTTCTTGCACGATGGGGCACCACCTCATTTCAGCGTTGCTGTGCGGGAGCACTTGAATAACGTTTATCCAAACCGTTGGATAGGTAGAGGAGGACCTATTGACTGGCCTCCTCGATTTCCCAACCTTAGGCTGATGGATTTTTTCCTGTGGGATACCTAAAAAAACTTGGTGTATTCCACTCAGATAGAGGAACTTCTACAGATAATCGCGTTTTATTGTGATATGATAAGAAACAATTCTGGGTTGTTCTGGCGGGTACAGCAGTCCTCAATTCGTCGTGCCCGCGAATATATCAAAGTTCACGGAACCCATGTTGAACCCTCTTATAAAGTTTTTAATTAATTTTTTCCAATTATCGTCCTTCAATTTAAGGTTTGCAACAATACGTGATATTATTTTTTTATGGTCCTTTTTATTAAAAAATAAAACATGAATTTGTTTATTATTCTTTTTCTCGAAAACGGTTCATTTTATTGATAATAAACAAGAGTACCTTTATTTTAGTTTAAGGTTCAAGCTAAGCAGATTTAGTTTTTTTAAGTCTTTGTCATACGGGGTGTTCAAAATTTAAGCATTAAAAAGTAAAACCTAGTCCGCCCCTGATAAACAAAAAAAGCAAAACATGTTTCAATGACACTATTTTTAGAGGTCCTTACCAGGGTCCATCATATTAAATTTTTATTAAATTATATTTAGAACTTTAAAAGTTATTCAAGGAAAACCAATTTGCAGGGGAGTCCTTTCGGGGCCCATGTCTCCGTAAGGATGGCCAGTGGGAAAAAAAATTATAGGAACGTGTCATCTTATTTTTTCATGTTCTATCTAAATCCGAGAGATTTCCCACATTTTCCCGGACACCCTGTATACAGGGTGTCCGGGAAAAGGAGGTCTATCCGTTAACCATATATTCCTTGAGTTAAAACAATAAGACTTTCATAATACCATTTTTCAATTTAGAGCTTCATGTTCGATATACAGGGCGACAAAGTTTGAAATTTAAAACTGATTTTTTTTAATAATTCGAGTAATTGATAAGATATTAAGTTCAAATTCGGTACACTACTTCAACATAAATAGTTACATTTTTTGAGACCAAGAAAACAAAAAACAATTGTCAAATAATCAAAATAGGGAGGTCCAGTACCCACTGACTCTCCCTATTTTTTAGTACGTGCGCCAATGACTTCCAAACGGTATTTTTTCAGGTAATCATTTATTGTTAAAAAAAATTTGTCTCTTATAAAATTTTGATAAAATGATTTGTTTTAGAGAGAATTTGTAAAGTATGGGTCAGTCCATATCAAATCAACCAAAGGTTCTTCCCCCACCATCTCCGATTTTGATAATTTTCGGTAAATTTGTTTACCTCACTAAAAAACTTAAAAATCCCACATATGAATTTTTTTCGATAGGTGGTTTTTGTTTTATTGATTTTTGAAAATCAAAAAATTCCGATAAATTTGGGTCTTGCAAGTACTTACAAAAATAGCGATATCTCTTAAAATATTAAAAGTAGAAAGGTGAGAGATGGCTTATTTTAAAGGCCTATTAGAGTCCTTTTTTATGATATATCACATGACCAAAATATTTTCAAAAAAAAATTAAGTTTCGAAAATTTGATATGGACTGACCCATACTTTACAAATTATCTCTAAAACAAATCATTTTATCAAAATTTTATAAGAGACAAAAAATTTTCAACAATAAATGATTACCTGAAAAAATACCGTTTTAAAGTCATTGGCGCACGTACTAAAAAATAGGGGGAGTCAGTGAGTACTGGACCCCCCTATTTTGATTATTTGACAATTGTTTTTTATTTTGTTGGTCTCAAAAAATGTAACTATTTATGTTGAAGTAGTGTACCGAATTTAAACTTAATATCTTATCAATTACTCGAATTATTAAAAAAAATCAGTTTTAAATTTCAAACTTTGTCGCCCTGTATATCGAACATGAAGCTCTAAATTGAAAAATGGTATTATGAAAGTCTTATTGTTTTGACTCAAGGAATATATGGTTAACGGATTGACCTCCTTTTCCCGGACACCCTGTATATTTATATATAAATAAAAAAAGTTTACAGTCTCAGGTTAACAGAATTAAAGTGATTTTACATAAAAAATAATATAAATATGGCATATGATATTTTTTTGTATTTTATTTGAAAATATTTGAAATTTTTTATTAGTGTTATTTTTGATCGCTGATATCTTTGAAACGGTTGATCTGAAGAACTTTGACCTTCAGATGTTTTTTGTAGATCGTGAATTTGTCTATAACTCCTCTCGCTTGGGTGTTGCGAAAACAAACCATTCCAAAGTTATAAGAATTCAAAATTAAAAAAATAAAAATTCCCGTGTTATTTAAATGAAAAAACAAAAAATGAATTGAGGCAAACCTTAATATTAATATTAGGGGCTCAAATAGGCGCCAACATTTTTGTTTTTTAATGTACTATTAATTTTTTAACACCATTGGAAAAAAAATAATTTTTAATTTTTTTGAAACACCCTAATATATACCCCAAGCATTTGCAAATATATGGTGTTAAAGTTTCATAATGATATCTTTATTAGTTTTTTTTTTAATGAATTTTGGCCACTTTTTTGCTATTGGGATGACAAAATAAATTTAATTACTTAATTATTCTAGAAAAAAATCGAATAAAAAAGTTTTAAAAATATTTGTTATTTCCAATCAATATTTATACTTAGGTAATATATTTTAATTAAATTTTTAATATAATTAAATTGTATCATAAATATGCGTGAAATATTAAGATGTACCCCAAGTGAAAATAAATATTTTTTATTTTTGGTTGTTTCACTGTTAGTCTAGAATGGGGTTTTTGGGAAGCCACCAGGTCTAGTTATAACTTAACATAAGAGGTTCTGCACTAACGCAAGAATTTTAAGAAATCATACATTTTTAATATTAGAGCTTTACGGAAGATAGCTTCACAGAGGTTAGGATTTCGTATGTTTCTTTTAAAATAACCCTTTGTATATTTGAAATTAGTTATTGTTTCTTTTGACACCTTAATATTTTAAAAAAATACAATTGTGCATACATAAAAAATATTATATAAAAAATCTACTTACTGATATATTACACTTCACGGTCGTTAGGTTTTTAAATAGCAAATTAATAAACTTAAACTTTTGAATTATAAAACAGCAACACTCTCACCTGCATATAAATTCTAACTGACATTCAGGAATCACATGCATCTATAATGTCGTAAACAGAGGTTTTTGCTTATTTAAAATGATTAAAGCGCCATCCGTTGCATAAAATTTAAAGCAAAAACAGATTCATGTAGGATAGAATCAATTTTTGTAACACCTACATAAATTTTTATAAAAATTATTTATGTGTTTAATTTACTTAGTGAACTGATATTTTTAGTATGCTTTTGACAAGGTAATAGCCTTATTACTAATAGGCCAGTTTTCACGATATAAATATAATGGGCAATAAATTAATATTTTAGGTACGGAATTTCAAAGAATAATTCCTGACAGAGGACCAGCATCACAAAAACCTGAGGATGTAAAAAAATTAATATTTTGCTCGGGAAAAGTATACTACGAAATAGTTCAACTTCTCGAAGAAAAGAAGCTACAAGATCAAATAGCAGTTACCAGGATCGAACAATACTGCCCATTTCCCTTCGATTTGGTTAAAGCTGAATTTAATAAGTATCCAAAAGCAAATATATTTTACGCACAAGAAGAACACAAGAATCAAGGAGCGTATCATTACGTCCGTCCTCGAATTAGTACCTCTATTGGAGGGGCCAGGCCAGTTCAATACATCGGGCGAGACGTTTCAGCTGCCCCTTCAAATGGAAACAAAGTTATACAAAAAAGAGAACTAAAAAAATTGCAAGCTGATCTTATTGCTTTATAAGTGTGTACTGTAAAACAATGTAATAAAGTCACAAGCAACATTGTTAATGGTAATTATTTGCTATCACCATCGCGTAACATTATTATTATCTATTTAACAAGTCTATTCAGCATTATACAGTGTTTGGTTACGCCAACGCCAAATTAATTTAACTATTATTTAAAATAGGGTCATGTACATTTAAACAAAGAGATTTCATATAGTATTTAAGAGTTTATGACCTCAGAAGATAATAATTATAGTATTTTTGTGCAAACATCACTTAATTAAACTAAATTAGTTTTTATATTTTGTTTTTATATGGCTTAAGTATAATGTAAAAAGTCGTATTTTTTTTATCTAGATTTTAATTGCTTTATTCATCTTTGGGTCAATGCATCTAATTTAGTATAAGATTAAAAATGCACCCTAAAATGTTTACTATAATAGTATATAATAATAATAATAATAATAATACAGTGTATATAAAATCTCGAAAAACTATTAAAACACCAGTAGTAGTAAAAATGCAAGGGTGATTATTGGAAAATAATGCTGTATGAAATTTCTTGCAAAAAAATAAGTAAAAACTACAGTTATAATTAGTTTTTAGTATTAATTTTTCCCAATGATTGAAAAACACTTATTTCGATTTGCTTGAAACATGTGTGATTGCTCATCAAAATAATGACGGGTTTATACAACTTCATATCATTAATTTATTTCATAATTCACAATTTAGTGCATACACCGAAAAAAATAATGTAGTTGAGTTAACGTTTGCCTAAATGTCATTTTTCAAAATGTTGTTTCAACAAAAAACCTATTGGATTAATCCACAGATATATTTTGGTGTCAAAGCAATAGTCAGAGTTTGTCCAAGTTTATTTGTTCATTAGACAGTTAAAATATTGATTTAACATAAACTAATTTTTTGAAATAAAATGTTTATCCTATTTTGATTTAATAGCTGGAGTTGGTTGAATCAAATACTGAAATTTTTAGGATAACCTAAAAAAACTATTAAATTAACGTTTAGTTGCTCTTTTAATCCAAAACATTAAATTTGTTCATTTAACAAATTGTAAATGTTACTTTAAAATTCGTCATTAGACGGTGTTGATCACGTGATATTCTTACATCTCGCCTCAGTTTGGCTTACGATAGGAGTAGGTATATAATCTCAGGTAGCTGTTTGTTTTTGGTGTGTTCCACAGTGGAACTTCCACTACAACAAATTGCCCGACACTGTTTATCAGTATGTCAATCAGCTGTCTGTCGGAAGGTATTTGAAGTAGGTGGAACGCACTCAAAACAAAAATTCTGGCGAGGGAAGGTTCAATTCTTTCTCTTTATATTAATTCCATAATTTTATTAACCCAACATTAGCGTAAATTATTTTAATTTAACATTTTATTAGTGTTAAGTGAATATGCTAAAAAGGTTACCTGGACATTTCAAGAAATTTACCTTAACATCTTAAAATAGTTAGCACAACCCTTTTCGAAATGTTTAATTAAGCAGATTAGCAGATTAGAACAAATATTCTCATTTTGTTGATTTGACTAATATTTGTTGTTCAATTAAACAAATAATTTGACATTTTTAGATGGTTAAATAAACGTGCAAAAACCATTGCTTGTATTTAAAGTGCATAAAGAGTTGAATTAATATTTTTTTGTTGTTTCAACAGCTTATTTTTTTAGTGTAAGCATAAAAGTTAACTCACAATTTAGTGTTTATTGAATAACCTTGAAAGTTCATATATTTTATAAAATTTAACTTTTATGACATAAATTGAATATATAGTTTTGCATACGAATTTATAATTTCTCAGACTTGGGTAAAATGTATATGGTTATGTTCGAATTATTCAAAATATACAGGGTGATTCAGACTTGTGGTGACAAAAGCTCAGTGGAAATTCATCAAAATATGAAAAAAAGTTCCTATAAACACGTGTCCGAAAAAGCTTCATTATCAAGATACAGGGTTTTTCTTTAAAAAAAATTAGTTTTTTATTTATAGCTTAAAAACGCTTTGGCCGATTTTATTAAAAATTTATATGGTTTATTAAATAATAAATGATTCAAGGATAATAAAAAATCACGTAAAGTTCCTCTAGCTTAAAAATTTACCATGAGTTTTAAAGTGTCAATTTTTATTAGAAATATTGAGGGCCCCCACCAAATGTCGGCCCCAGGGCCTCAAAACTCTTAATCCGGCCCTGCGAGTAATCCAAAAGAAACATAACATGATGTCTTGGTAAGTTGGTAAATTAGATTCTGGTAAGTTCCGTCCATGACCAAATATAGGACATAAATCACTACGTAAAACAGACATATCGTAAAGAAGAAATACTAGGAAGAGGTATTTTTAAACAGGAAAATTATTCATTAAATAAATATTAATTGTGTCAAGGTATGAATTTTTGAAAATACTGGAAACAAGAATTTTGGAAAAGTTGAAAACTAATAAGATGTCACAGGTGCCGTTTTTTTGTCAAATTGTTAAATTTGCGAAAAACGATACCTGGTACATTTTATTAGTATTTACCTTATACAAATTCGCATTTCCAGTAAGTGAAAAATAATGCAAATTTTTGCTTAAAATATTTTACGATTTATGATTTTTGCACTGATACGATTGATACTTAAAAACTGCATACAAGGATTGTTGGGGTCATATTGACCACAACAATGCACTTCAAACGTTAACAAAAACCCATATTGTTGACTTAATTTTTGTATATTGTAAATTTAGACCCCTTGGGGCAGTAATAAAAATAAATATTTTTCAATTTTTTTTTATTATTTAGATTGTGTACTTTATGAAGCAACTTTTCCACACTGGTCAATTTTGATATCGAGATTTTTTCATTTTCGTAAACTAAACGATCCACCCTAATATATAGATCATGTTATAAAAATTACCAACGTAAAAAAGCATAATTTTATTTTAAAAAATAATTACATCAAAAAGTGAAAACAAAATAAAATTATTTGTTTAATTAAATAGTCAGATACAATGTTATTACAGGTGTTATTTTGCCCATGGTGCAGTAATTAACAAAAGACCATCGCTGGACAGAAAACATTTGGCTTGTTCATAATTAGCAGATTGTGGTAATTGGTAGCTTCTGGTAAGAGACATTTTTCTTGCCATGTATCCTGATAATTCTTCTCGTTGTGCTGTTACTTCAACTGAATTGGATACAATCGAACATTTTAATTCATCTGCTTTGTACCCTCTAACATCTATTAAAATCTAATAATAATTATTTTTTTTAAATTTAGTTTTATGAAAGTATAGGTGATTTACCTCAAATTTGTCGCTTGTATATAACACATTATCGAGGGTGCTATTTGCCATTAAATTTAAGACTAGTTTTTCAGGATCTTTGGGTACTTTTTTTATTTCTTCCTTTAGAACAAGTCCTTACGAAATAATAAGTTAGATGATATCATTAAAAAAACGTGGTAATGGAGTTCAGAAAATTAAGAATGAAAAAAAACTTATATTGACTCGTTTCTTGAAACATTTTGTTTTCGAGATTCGCAGTGTTTTCTTGTTATCAGGAGCATGAAAAGATTTTTTCTAAATGAAGCTAGATGTGAAAAACATTAAAGAGGCAAACAAGTTTTATTTCTTATTGTTTCGAAACATCAAATAATCATCTAAAAAAAATATCAAACAAATATACGGAGAAACGCAGTAACTGCTAAACAAGAAATTTGTGTAAAATTAGCATAAACTACATTTTTATAAAAAGCAGTAGGTATTTAATTAATTTTTTTAACTTGAGATATTTGACTGCATTTATGTGTTGAATTCGGTTACAAAATGTCCATAGCTTTACCATAGCACAAGAAAACGCATCTTGCATTTTTTTGCAGTCACTGCCTTTCTTCATAGTAGGGCAGTATAAAGCTTGCTCTGTTTAAAAAAAATATATTAAAATAACTTTATTGCATGTCCCTGGGACAACCTAATAAAAATTTAAAACTACCAAACTATCAAAAACTGGGTTGTACCTGTTATGTCTTACCATATTAATAGTTTATTCTAGTCTCATATATGATACTAGAATAGAATATTAATGTATTAACAATGTATACATTGTTGTAAAAATAAATTAAATAAATAAATAATACATTGTTGTAAAAATAAATGCAAGCAATAACAAAATGTGTTTTATTAATTATTAAATAGTTTTTTGTTGTCCATAGCTATGTCTACTTTTATGTCATTTTTAGCGTTTTATTAGAAATTTGTGTGCACTGAAAAATTTTACAAAATGGAGATTACCCCTCATATGGTTGTTAAAATTAAGCAAATTAAATAATTAACCTAAAAACCTTACGTTTTGTGCTTAATATAATTAAAGTAATAAAGGACAAAAATATTGTTTATTGTTTTAAACAATTAAAAGGCTCTTTTATTCTTTATTATAAATATTATTGTACATTGTATACATACAGTGTGACCCATTTGTTTGAGACTCATTCCTGTAAAATCTTTATTTATTGTGCAATTTAAACCGAATTTGTTTTAAAGTGTAGATCTTGATAAACTGTATTTTTGGATACAAAAAGAGCAGATATTAGTACAAAATGGAAATCAGTGGTTAAATAAACCAAATTTTCAATATATTCAATTTTTTTTCAATATATTGGATTGGATATTTTTATTTTTAGTATTTTTTCGTATCGAAACCAAACTCTTTATTGCATGTGCCTTGATCGATAATAAAAATAATAGAAAATCGTAAATAACAACAATAAAAAGTAATATGACTTTGAAACTAAGTTTCACCAAGTCTTGGTGACAATTTTTAATATAATACAAATTAATCATTTAAGCTAAAAATGTATAGACAAAGACATAGACATAGCTATGGAGAACGAAAAATATTTTTAATAATTAATCAAACGCATTTTTTTGTTTGCAATTATTTTTATAATTTATAATATAATTTATAATACTCGAACACCCCAGTTCTTGATGGTTGGGAGTTTTAA